TCCGCGAGAGGGACTGGTGGTGCATAGCTTATACTTTCTCTTCGGACATACAGGGTGACCGAGAGGGTGACAAGGTATCCCCGCATAATATGATAATATTTTTGGAAAGACGAATAGTTCATGTCATGTTTCCTCGCCCGTGTGTTCAACAACGTATTTCTGCATCACCTAACTTGACCTTCATAATTTCTTCATTGCATCGCTCAGTATGAGCGTTATTATGATGTATCTCTGCACCCGACCCCACAAACGGCGCTTAACAATGAGGGAGTCACTTAGAATAAAGAGAAGAGAAGATGGCCGCCTGGTGACGTAGCGAAGACCAATAAACAAAGCACAACGCTGGTTCCTATCAACACATTTAAAATTCTGCTTCAATCTTTTACCGTACTTCACCGTAGTTTTCATCACTCATCTTCCATACGAGAACCATCAAATTTGAGTGATGCAGTCTGGAAAATCGTGATTTTCAGTAGGTTTGTTTTGTGTTGTTATGCTCCATACAAACGAGCAGCCGTCTTGCCACCTTCTCTTCATATAATAAGTGAAAAGATACCAATTATTACTCTCCTAGGGGTGATATAATTGGATTCACGTTGTCGCTCTCGCGGAAGCGAAACGCAGCACTCCTCGATTTGCAATGCTTTGCTTATCCACTGATCAAAGTGTTCTCCGAAAAAGTCCGACGCCCGAGTCGCGTACTAACGCAGCTGGGGTAGTTCGTGCTGCAATATTTCGCCAGTCAGGAGCCGAAAGGTGCGACATGACCTCCCTCCCACTAAATGAAGTTTTGGCCACCCGCCCGCTTTTCGTCCCGACCTCATGGTCACCCTCGCACAAACATATGCACAGCCCTCTGATCCGACAACCCACAGGTGTCACTTTCGGCCAAGTCTGTGGATGCCTCGCCCGCGGTCTGCGGCACGCCGCGGGGGGGATCACGGCGCGACTGATAGAGCAGTCGATATCAGGGATGTACAACACACTCCTCGATTGCCCTTGGATCGACAGGCAAGGCCACTCAGCTGCGCGCCACGCCGCCGCGGGCCGCGATGACAACGCCGACAGGAAGGAGAGCGAGCGCGGGGCAGGTGGGGAGGCGGTGGGGGGAGGGCACACGTGGCTGCCGTTGACGGTGCCCAAATTAAGTGCCGATGCACTGCCCGCCCGCCCGGTAAGGGGGCGGGGCGGTGCATGTGCGCTGGGCGGGGCGCTGCGACTGTTCTGCTCTGGGGCTTCGGGGCCGCGCTGCCCAGCTCACCTTAGCCCCCCCGTTGAGCGGCGCGGGGCTGCTCGGTCAATTATGCATGGATGGCCGGGTCACTGACAGACGGAGCGGGCCTCTCTCCGGCTTCTGTGCGCTCACGCTCAGCGCCTCCTCACGCCTGAAAGGGAAACTCGATCCATTCTGAGAATACTACATTTCTACTCTTAGGACTGTCTAGTTTAGTTTCATGTAAGACTAAAGGACGACCAATTTTGTCCATTTAGTTGAGGCTTGGGCGAAATGAACGTGAAATCAGGCATAAAACTATATACGAAATTCGAAAGAAATACTGCCTAGTGCCGACTGTGCTCCAGTTCCCTTTGTGCTCAATATGCCTACACCAAAACAGGAGAAAAAACGCGAAAATCAAGTCAAGACACGAATGCCGTTTGTCGCTCGATAACGTGCGTCTCATGTCGCCCATGATGTTTGTCCGTCCTTGGCTAGGGCTTTAGGCGGTGGCGTCACTTCCGGACTCGGCCTGCAGCTTTTCATCCTGGCGGGGCGGGGTGGGGCGGGGCAGGGCGGGGCAGGGCGGGGCGGGGCGGACGCGCACACCACCACGTGGTCGACGTTATGATACCACCCGTCTTCTTCCTTCTCGGTTCACGCCGAGATGGCAACAACAATTCTGGGAATCATGTGTTCACCCGGCACCGGAAATCAATGGGGGGTTACGATTTTCTGCGGGGAGCATGTGTGAACAAACTAAGAGTACACAACGCTCTTACCAGATGACATCGGGGTTACACATGGGGTCCTTTCGTGATGACGATAATGCTCACGTTGCACCAAATGAGATGTGTCATTCTTTTATTTTCAGACAAGGCCCAAGAGGATGGAGCTGGACAGCGCACTCGAGCAGCTGGGCCATTGGGGGAAGTTCCAGCTCATCAGCTATGGACTGTTGTGCGTGCCCATCGTCTTCCACGCCGTCTTCTACCTCACCTACGTGTTCACGGCCATGCAGGTGGAGCACAGGTATGTTCAAACGACACGAAGTCTTCACATTAAAAAGAGAATGACAATGACACCTTTTCATTTCATTCTTCGCCACTAATTTTGTTGGCTTTATTTTAATGCTATCCCCACAACAGATGTGACTCAGTCGTGTCTAATACTTCCCCGTCGTGTTGCCCCGCAGATGTCTAATCCCCGAGTGTGGCGAGGACCCGCTGCAGACGGAGTTCCGGCCGCCATGGCTGACCTCGGCCGTGCCCTTCGACTCGGGCCGGCCGGTCGGCTGCCACCGCTACGAGGCCGTGCAGGGCGCCGTGCTGCCGGAGAACGGCTCGTGCGTCGCCTCCATGTTCAGGGACGACGTTCAGGTGGCGTGCACCGAGTGGGTGTACCCCAAGGCCACGCTGTCCATCATGAGTGAGGTGCGGTCCTGATAACCCGAGGGGACGCCCCTAAGGATGCCTTTACACCGGCCCGTGGACTGCCTTGGCGCGGCGTGTTACCTTTGTGTGTGTTTGCAGTGGAACATGACGTGTGACGGCAACAGCCACTGGATGCTGTCGCTTGTCGGCACCATCAACAACATCGGCCGTCTCTTCGGCATGCCGATTGCCGGGTTTGTGTCGGACAGGTAAGCAAGGCGAGTTAAGAAGAGTTGAGCATGAAACAAACAAGTAAAATATGACCTGTTATACGAACCTGCCAAGTTGAGCCTCCGAAAGCTCGCATAGCGCCTGATAGGTAGGCAATATCTGGTCTGCCGTGCATGCGTGTAGTGCGGGGTGGCCTACCCCGACTCTCGCAGGCGCTCAGCTCCTGTAATTTGACCAACGGATCTGCGAATAAACGGGCGTACTTTCTGTACGATCCCTCAGTGGAATTGCTTGACTTGCTTGACATCTGTGACATTCACCCGAGAGTGCCTATGGTAACGTTGTTCCCAACGATGCCCACAGGTACGGGCGGCGCACCATCCTGCTGCTGGGCCTGGGGCTGGCCGGGGTCATGGGCATGCTGCGCTCGTACGCCACCAACTACGTCTTCTTCCTGGCGTTCGAGTTCCTCGACCCGCTGTTCAACGCGGGCCTGTACAGCGCCTCGTTCATCCTGGGCATGGAGCTGATGGGCCCGCAGAAGCGCGTCATGTGGAGCGCCTTCACGCACTCGGTGTACGCCGTGGGCGAGGCGCTGCTCGGCGGCGTGGCCTGGGCGCTGCAGGACTGGCGCTGGATCCTCCGCGCCTTCTACGGACCCGCCATCCTCTCCCTCGCCGTGCTGTGGTGAGAACTGTCGTGCGTCCGTGGTGTAGTTAGTTTTGGAGGACTTAAATGCAATGTTTTAGTTCCAGGGTAAAAACAATTTCTGATTTAAAAAAAAAAACCTGCTCAGATTTTGAGGGAAATTCCTACATTTTTGAAGGAATTCCTCGTAATCTGAGGACTTTTTCTTTTCTCAAATCATGAGAGTTCTTAAAATGTTCCCATTTTACTAAAAAATGAAAAGTCTGTTTTTACCGTGTGACTAAGTTACGTGCCGGCCGGGGTAGCCGCCTCTTGTAGGAGGTCTTGTGGAGACTTCACTAGGCGCTTTCTACTACTTTTCCTTTCATGACCTGGACCGAGTTCTTGAATGCTTTGTCCGGGAGGCTTATTGTGTCAGGTATCTGAAAACCTCTTACATTTTGTAGGATGTTGCCGGAGTCCGTCCGATGGCTGTGCTCAAAGGGCCGCACCAAGGAAGCCAGGATCATCATAAGAAGGGCGGCTGTCATGAACAAGATGTCTACCAAACAATTGGACCTGGAAGAGATGAAAGCCAGCATTGCGGAAGAGGTAGGAGCTCTTCTTCCGAATGTGTCACTCGCAATTTCCTCTTTGCACCGTGTGCTTTCATGTGCCCCCTACCCCTTTTGCTTCGGTTTGTTAGGCAAAGGCAAAGAAGGCGTTCAAAGACGACGACAGAGAGGACACGCCGTCTACGTGGTGGGCCCTGAAGGAGACGTTCAAGTCCAAGGTTCTGCGGGTTCGACTCCTGACGTGCTCGTTCTGCTGGTGCGTAACATTTTGCTCTGGTCCGAAAATGCCCAATGAGTTGCCTGTGGCGAGAAACTCAAACACCGTCGTCTCGTTGCGCCCTCCAGGATTACAAACACGTTCGTCTACTACGGGCTGTCCCTCAATTCGGTGAGCGTCTCGGGCAACCTGTACCTCAACTTCATGCTGGTGTGCCTGATCGAGGTGCCAGCCGGGCTCGTCACGTGGATGCTCATGGAGCGGGTGGGCCGGCGCATGTCCATGTGCGCCTCGCTCGTGCTCACCGGCCTGTCCTGCCTGGCGTTCCTGCTGATGCCCGACACGGAGGGTGAGTGTCCGGAGGAGGGTGGAAAAACAGTAGCGGGATTACGGGACAGTTTTACATTATGTGTACCGTAAAATTATAATTTGAAATTGCAAATTTACAAGCACTTCGCATGTCGACTTGGAATCAAAAAGCAATGATGGGTTGTCGGCTGTCGCAGATTTACGACAAAGCCAAGCTTTGTGCCGCACATAGACTTACGCATCGCGATGGGTACTGTACAACCAAATGCTTGCGGGTTGCCTATTCGCTCGGGCTGTAAGATGTCGTTGCCAGAGACGACCGGTACGATCTGCGTGCACCAGCTCGAATGTGTGCGTGCGCAACTGTCTACTTAAGAATGTTGGCGGTATGAATCAGCTGCCGGTGCGTGCGATGCGTGTCGTCGCTAGCTATACAACCCTCACTGTGCGAGTAGAGGTTCTCTGGTCTTCATCTTCCCCTGCGTCATCCTCCCCCCTCGCTTGTTTGTGTTGCAGTGTGGCAGTGGATTCGCATCGTTACTTATCTCATCGGCAAATTCGGCATCACCGTATCCTACACGGTGCTGTACGTGCTGACGGCTGAACTATTTCCCACGAATGTGCGCCACTCTCTATTTGCCATGTGCTCGGCATTTGGCCGCATTGGCTCCATCATCGCACCGCAGGCCCCACTCCTGGTGAGTACAGAGAGAACGGGGACAGTGCGAAACGACGTAAATTTGGAACAGTGTTTAATGTGCCTCTTCAAAGACGCCTCTGAAACACGGGCTCCGATATTTACTGTACATCGAGCTATTCAAATAGTGACTAAATGGTCTCTAATCGCAGAACCGCATTCTGGAGTCGCTGCCCGTGATCCTGTTCGGCACCATGTCGTTGATTAGTGGTCTACTCGCGCTCGTCTTCCCGGAGACGCACAACACCAAGCTGCCGGACACAATCGAGGAGGCGGAGAACATCGGTAAATCGAAGAAGAAAGGCGGCGGGGCCGACACCCCCACCGCTAACGGGGGTAGCGGGGACGTGATCGTGGACATTACCGGCGACCTCAAGCACCCCGTAAAGAAGACATCGGTAACCGCGCGCCCGACACGCATCTCGGTAACGAGCATGTCGGGTAGGCCGCACAAGAAGACGTCGGTGTGCAGCATGGGCACGGTGCAGGTCACCGTCCCCGAGAAGGGCAGCACGACGCCGACAGCGGCTCAGCAGGCCGCCCCTGCAGAGAACAGCAGCGCACCGACAAGCCCTGCCGCCGAGCCGGAGACTGTGACAGTGCACCTGTAATTTTGCCCCCCCCCCC